AGTTCCATGTAAATGATTTTAGAGCATTGAAAACACAGATACCTTAAGTGATTGTTTAAAACAAGTGGTTGGTGATGTTATATTGAGATTTGGGTACTGTATGATTGTATATGTATGATATTAACATTGTCGTATGTATATTAGCAATATGAGGGTTGCTGATTTTTGAATTGAAAACCCTGTAGTATGTTACAGATTCACGGCTTTGAGTATGTTAAATAAGGATTCACGGTAAAACAAATTTAATAGTTCGGCTACATTTTATGACGTAATCAAGCCTTCAGCTATTATGCTGTCTGGAAAATTTGACAAGCAACTAGACGCTATACTAGCCTCGAATTCGTAATTGTTTTCAAAAGCATTAAAAGTAAATGCAAATCGAGATTCTTAGAACATAATCCTCGATTTAGTACGTAATTTTTAGTTCGGGCAAATATGTAAAATTAATGCTTATCAATTTCAACTCCGCATTCAATTATGTGATAAAGATTATTTTAAGTTTATTTTACGGAACTTATTTTGAGATGTGAATGCCGTGTGAATCAGCTCTTGACAACACCTTACGTCTTTTCCCTAAAATAGTAATTTAAATGCTGTTATTGTTTCTGAAGCTGCTTTTATATCTTTCGACTATCAAGGTTTTTCTCTTGAGATGAGCTTTTGTTCGTGGACGCCTAGAATGACATTTATTTATTTATTGTTTTCCCTTTCCCATGAAACATTTTTCAAGAGGTCGATGATAGCCCACGAGGATTGTCCGAGCAGTTGGTTGACACCGCTGTTCGAAGCTTGTGAGGTATTCAGGCGTCGCCTTTTTGTGATGACTAGTGCACGTTTTTTCTGCGAAGGCCTGGCAAGCGTGATTGGCATGCTTCTCGCCCATTCGTCCGCCGTCTCTTTCGCCTCACGTCACTCTTCTCTGCCCCCTGCCCTCTGTCCACCTCTTCTCTTCTTATCTATGCCCCTTTCCGTTTCCCTACTGGCAAGGGGCCTTTCAACTCGTTCAGGGCGAAATCTGTCCTGATTTTTGTTCGTTATAGATTTAATTCAATAACTGCCGCCATTTCGGCACAAATCGAGCTTCATCATAAGCACCCAATGAATTTAAGTAATATACGGCATATTTGGCAAGGTGGCTTTGAGGGGCCCCGAGGCGTTATTGGTTCATAATAAAAATTGACTTTCAAGTCGCTCAGAGCCATCATTTCGAACGAAACAATGAAAATCACAAGCGATTTTGTTTTTTGGAGTTTAATTCACCATTTCACTTGTGGATTATGATCTACAATTGGCATGACAGCTTAGCGGAGTGCAAAAAGGCATTCACCAAAACCCTTATACATTGTTGTCTGTGACAAAAATACTCGAAGATAGGCAAATAATGTTAACTATACATTCATGCCGCGGGTACATTTCAGCATCACATCGGATTTGTGTTTCTTAATGTCGAATAATTAGTGCCCAGAAGATTAAGTTGTATGCCAAGCAGCATTACGTGTTGTCAAGGGCGTGAGCAATGCTGTTAGTTGTTTCGCTGCCCTGAATTGGAGCTCGAGCCCAGAGGAGCACTTGTTCCCTCGGCGGACATTCTCGCTATGTACGCAGGGCGGCACATACCCCGTGCGAACTACGGACGGACGGGCAGGAGGACGTTTTGCCGTTAATCGACTTTTCGGTGGCAAGGACACAGAAAACATGGATTCTGGTTGCACCACATTTTAGAGGATTTCCCCCTAAATTTAGCAATTGTATTTATCCATATTTTCTTTAGCAGGGCCCTTTAAACAGAGTTTTTCTTCCGAAAATTCGCGTTTTCCGCATAACGTTTCATACCTCTTCTTAAGGACGAGAAAGTAAAAATGAGGCCAGATTTGGATCTGGACCTGTTGAAAGGTCTCTTGTGAGTGCATCCTTCGAACAGACCGACATGGGCTCTCGAAGTGGGTACTTACTTCCCCAGCGAATGCACTTGTGCAACTCTCTAGTCTTCTCGCCGTGGAGCCAAGCATTTCTGCATTTCGATATAATAGTGGTTCCAATTTCAACCTATTTTTAGTCGCTTTTTTATGTCAGGTTGCGAGTACCTCCCCCAACAGTTTTCTGGTGGTTTCTTTATTTTTATTTCTCCCCTGAATGGGCCGTATTCGCTCTTTGCTCGGCGACTATGGCGCCACCGGGGACACGAGCGCTAGCTGAAGGGTTTCTATCACCTGAGCTGCCCTTCACCATCCAGTGCTCTCCGTTGCCCCCTCTAGTCCCGATTGACGTTACCAGTAGGTTCATATTAGATTTGAAATTATTTTTACCGAAGAGGCCCACGTCAACACAACGACTACTACTGAGCTTTAGACGGGGGTGAGGATGGGAAAAAGGAGGTGGTCCCGGGATTCGCCCTTGGAGCCGAAGAAATTGCTACGCTTTCGCCCTAACCGTCTCGGCCACCTGCGCCAACGAATTGATTTTTTTAAAATTCTTTTTTTTGGGGGGGGGAGTAGTGCTACGATAACCATTAATAATATAATATTTTGTGTCATTGAAGCGAGCGCCTTGTAAAGCTCTCAGTGAGTAATGTGTATTTATCTTGCTTTACTTTTCTACTTTGAGTTAACTGTAAAAATGCCCAGTTTACTCCTTTGCTTTTACTGTGCCAAGTCATATCGGAGAAGTTGTCGAAGGTCGGAATCGTTTTGTCAGATGTGTAGTCAATTACTCGTAAATGACAGCAAACACAATGTCGTGCCGAGTTCGAATGTCGAAGAGTCGGATGTTTTTCGCACAGTGCGATTCGGTTTTTCCTATAGAAGACGGCGTGTGGCTTCCGCCGTCGAAATGCCCCCGCTTCCCGTGAGGGCCGATAAAGGCCCAGGCGAAGGTCAGTGGCGAACTGGGCCGAATGGGTTCCGGTCCGAGGAGGACGCTAGCACAGCGCTGCCACGCGGATTTCCCCACACAAAGCCACTTTTGACATTTCTGCCACATATATCTCTTAGTGTCACATAATTTTAAATAACTCCATAAATTGTTTGCTAAATCAGGCGAGTGTAAACTTAATTTGTCTCTGGCTTTTCTCTTTACCTCTCCCTCCTCTCTTCGCCCCCTTTTTGCAACTCCCGCTGCTGTTCCCGGATAGAGTAGATGGTAACGTTTGAACTTATTGCTTACCAACGCCCTGATAATTAAAGTGAATGAATGAAGATATTTTGAATCTTACAGCTTATATCTTTTTGAAAACCCTAACAAAGAGTTTTGTGTCTTTTCGCTCTCGGCAAATTCTCCCTTACTCTTGCCTCATGCTGGGCCATCCCGAGATTCGTCAGTATTCTTTCTCATTCGAAACGCTCTTGGATTATGGGAGGGGTGGGTGCCACATAAACACCGGGCGTAGCTCATTGAATACGTTTCGGCCCCCCCCCCACTCTCCCGCCCTGAACCTTCGGAAAAGTTAGTTTTCTGGTCGAAAGTGTTATTTGTTTGCTTTTGCTGAAGCGTTATGTTTCCTTGTTCGTCCGTGAAACGTCCAGACAATACCGAGATGACTCAGCAGTTCTGCCGTTTGGTTTGCCACTTTGCAGCTATTTTGGAATCATTCTTTTCGGTTTATCGCTAATGAGATGGACTTTTCTTGGTATATCACAATATGATTCTTCGCCGTTCAACTCTTTTAATGTCCCTAAAGAACCATTCCACTTCGTCAATCGTGTTGTGTTTTACTATCATACAAGTAGAAACAGAAAAATTAAGTAATGAGAATACGTGTGTTAATGCGTCGGAATGGCTTGTTTTGCGAGTGCTGGAAAATTGGGCAGAAAGTAGAGTAAAACGTTTTCCTCGGTTCCTGCAAGAGAGGATTCGGAAATGACAAATATTAAAACTACGCCCACATTGTCGTTAGAATCTGCTTTCCAACACGAAATATTTGAATACAATATCCGTATTACGTGAGTCCTGGATGAAAGGAACCGATTATCTTTCTCGTTTTATTCTTTGAATAGACCACGCTCTGCTTTGACGCGCCAAAACTGCGGGATCACGGCAAACATTGCGTCACGTAACTTCGAAGCCAAGACACCGACCGTGCATGAATTCATTCAATAGCTTTTGCGATATGCCAAGATGTCTCGTTGCAACGCGATCCCAGTGCAGCTAGTACGGCTGTTGGCTTTTAACAATGCGTGCGAACGGCATTTAAAATATAAACAGCTAACTCTCTCGGAAAAGCCACAATTTGAGGCGCTTTACGTATTGTGGCGATTCTTGCTTCGGCCCGGCCCGGGCCAGTTGTTGCCTTTTGCAAAGCAGTTATTCGAGCGGTTATTCCTTCTTATTTTGTTTTTTCTTTGCACGTATGCTCGCGGGATTTGGGAGGAATAAAATGTTATCTAGGGCACGGTGCGTTTGAAGTGTGACAGCCTTTACTGTTAATTTATACCAAAGACAGGTTATAATTGAGATTAGGTGCCAAATTTGTTATTTTTATGTCTGTGTGTAAACAACAAATTTTTGCTTTATTCCTATAATAATTAAATAATTAGGTTTGTCTATTTTTGTCGCTCCTTTCACTGAAGTCTGAAAGAAAAAAGAGAAGTGCGGTATGGTGTTATATTTGATTTCAACATTACATATACAATGCACTTGTTTTCGGCCGGAAGCGGTAATTTCCGTTTGTGTTGCGGTAGCAAGACTATCTTCAATACCTTCCTGACACTGTTCAATAAACGAGACCGAAAAGAGAGTAGTTGCTTGGAAGCCGCACTGCGCTGCGCTGTAGGAAGCCGTTTGTAGTAAGGAGTGTGTTGCGGATTGCGTAGTTTGCAATGCCATGAAGAGGCGCCTCGGCGCAGACGCGCGCGCCAAGGGCAGCTCCGACATGAACGTGGGCGAGGCGGGGGCGGGAGGCGGGGGCGGTCGCGCGCGGCCGGGGCGGGGGCGGGCGCGGGGGGCGGCTCGGGCCCGCGTCGCCCGCCGCGGCGCCGCCGCCTCGCCCCGCCCGCCGAGGCACCGCACCGCCGACCACGCCGCCTCCCCCGCGCCCGTGGGCGGCCGCCGCTCATCCCGCCCCCGCCGCCGCAGGCCGCGCCGCCCCCGCAGCAGGCCACGCTCAAGGTGCACCTGCCCAACGGCGGACTCAACGTCGTCAAGTACGGCGACGCCATCGACGTAAAGGTATGATTTCCTTTTTTCACACGAACTGAAGATTGCAGAGATACACTGATAGAAATGTTGTATATGTACTAAACATCTTTAGTAAACGTTCATGTACTAAGTCCAATTATTTTTTTTCTAAGATTAACTAAACGTAAGTTTGTGAACTATTGAAACTCGCAAGTGAATACACAAAGTGAATTGTCAGTAGTACTGTACCTGTTTCATAGATAAAATCATTCGCTGATTTCTACTTCTCATGTTAACACACGTAATAAACACAGTTTAATATGCGAGCGTTTTCAGAAATGTAATCAATTCCAGTGGTTATAGAGCCCACGTAGAGGATGAGACATTTACGTTGTATGAAGTACTGTGCGCTGCATAAACGCTGTTTAGTACTTCATTCATTTCAAATAATTATGAGTTGTATTCTAAACTAATGGTAGGAAGACCGTCTGTAACCAAATGTCGCAAACCAGCGTCCGCAGCTGTCCTGATTCCGAAGTTAAGAAGTACGTGCTTACAGAACCCTTCGGATGGGTGACCGTCCTGGAAACACAATTGCTATACATTGATTACTCTAAGAAGGGACTGCTTTGACAGCTCCTGCTGGCAACGTACTTGCAGGTTAAGTCCTTACACTCAATGTATCTGTGCGTTCGTTTCTCATTTGTAAATGGATTCATCACTGTCTCTTGCAATGCCTTCGCCATATACGACGCTCATTTGTTTCCCTGCCAGTCAAAGTGGTCCCTTAAACCTGTTTTACATGTATAGGTGTTGTGGTAGGATATCTTTGGCATTTTTAAAATAATTAAAGATGTTGTCATTGCCAACAATGACAACAATGATTGTTGGCAATGACAACATCTTTAATTACTGTTTTACATGATCATTTTTTCATAATTTTTGACTTGTACAGAAAAGTCGCGGACCAGACTAGATGTAATTTGTACGAAAAAATGGCGCATGATTCATTTTATGGTTTCATGGTATGGACGCATGATTCATTTCATTTATTTTTCTGGCGCGAATTGTTCCTTTTGTACAGTTTGGAGAGCTTTCTGATGTGTTGAATTGTAATGTCAATATATTTTGTAGTGAGAAATAAATTATGTACTGCCCTAATGTCGTCGCGTTCAGTGCTCAGTCTTATTATAACCTAACTTAATTAGTTACCATTGATTCGATGTTTAAATGTTTGAACTTCAGCTCGTTTTGTGGCGTCAAGAGGAAGTATTTTCAACACGTTTACGTACAGACCAGAAATGACCGTGTTAAACGCTGCAATCACGTTCATTCAGTTTCGCCACCGAAACATCGCGAAGGAACAAACTTCCTTTTTACTTCCACTTTCTGTACAGAAAAATAATGAAAAAAATCACCGTGTAGAACAGGGTTTGGCGTAACTCCTCTGTACCGGGCGAAAGGAGTAGAAAGAAAAGCTTCCCTTTCACGTTTCTTCTTAATAAGTTTTACTAAGCAACTTCTAATAAAAGGGGTTATGAAACAGTTACTATTCGTTTAGTGATTTTCACTGTGTAAATAGCAATTATTAGAAGAAGTATGTATTAATAAACGCAACTAATCGTTTAGTAATCAACACTAAATGCAGATTTCATAGGTTACGGCCTATGGAAATATGTCTAAATGCACATTAGGAGGCGCATTTTCACTAAACAGTTTTGTAATCGCGACCATTCACTTTGTTCTTCTGAATCGAACTACACCCCTAAGCTCTATCTATTACATGATTAATTGAATGAACTAAACACTTCTTTCTGTGTATGATTTGTTTTGCTTGATGCCGATCTGCCGTATATTATGATGGAAACTCGCGTGGTGAATTACTGTTTAATGATGACGAAATACCGCCCCACCACCCGCATATAAATGTGTTTGCCAAATTTTAACATTCGCTCCTGTACTTCAAAATACTTTTCAGGGTGCTTCAATTATTCGCTCTTGCAAATAATACACTTGATTTGCATTATTGTTGTCGTTGTTAAATATTATTTTAGTCATAAAGCACAAACTCTGAAAGTGATTTATTTATTGGGCTTGGTGCCCCAATATTTGAAGTGAATCTCGTTTACGTTCAAACTTTTTAAGTGCTAAAAATAACTTTGTTTTGAAATAGTGAAACAGAAAATAATATAATTTTTCGCTTATTTACTGACAACTGTCGTAGAATTCATTCACATCAATAATCTAAAATTTGTTTAGGAAAATGGTAAGATTCTCGGACTCTAAAGTTTTGTAATGACTCGTACATTATCGACCATACTTTTTCATCCTTTCATTTATTTTTATCAACACACGTCTCTTGGAATTCGCATTTTGCGTTGTATTATCTTTCACTAATTACTTTTCGTTATTGAGTGTCTTACGTTTCCGTACGAGCGTAGTTGCGCCGCGTGAGGCGTGCAATTCCAATCCACGTCGGGGTTTCGTGGGCTGCGAGGTGAAGCAAGGGAAGAGTGAATGAGCCGGGGTGCCAATCGGAGCGTGCGGTGTGGACTCTGCGACCCCGGCCGTCGTTGTCGGTCGCTGAGCGGTGGGGGCGGGGCGGGGCAGAGCGGAACGGTCTCCGCTTCACGGTGCGCGGTGCTCACCGAGGCGGCCGCTCCGCTCCGCCCCGCCCCTCCCGCTCATGGACTCTCTGTTCCGGATTATCAGGACCTGGGTCGCTGTCTTAAAAAACATTATTTATAACGACTATTCCACTTGTGAAATTAAAACCATTAATGTTTAACTATAAATTTTTAAAAAAATGTCCCAATCAGGGTGGTGTATTTCAAAAAGTTTATCGCTTTTTCTTTCCGATTTTTCTTGCAGCTTCTACTTCCTGGCCATTCATAAACTGTCACTCATCTGTCTTACGAGGCGGTATACATCGATCGTTATATCAATCTCCAATAAACAGCGTATGTACTATAGCATAACCTCTGATTTTAACATACCCTTTTAGTTATTTTCTATATTTGGCGCATTTTGGAACTGCGTTGGACATAATTTCACTGCGTTGGACATAATAGTCCTATTAAATACCACTCGAGCTTTGGAAATTCTCAGATAAATCCCCTCCTCGCTTCGCGATTCGGGGATTTATCGACAATTTCCAAAGCACTCGTATTACTTATGCGAGTGAGGATTACTTAGCTGAGGATGCAGCGGAAAAGACCGAAACGGTTAGGCATGGAGGTGACCACCGTAATTTCATTTGCTCTGTAAAGGTTGTTTTTTTTTCGCCCAAGTCGCCTGCTTGCCTTTGCCCACTCTTCAGGTCAAGTATGTGTGGGCGTGACTGCGTGAACGAAGCTGGGCACCCGCGTGAATGACGATATTTTCGCGTGTCATTCCACGGTCGGAAGAATGTATCCCTCGCGTGCCGGGATTCGGGGGGTGGGGGCGCATTCCCGTGTCTTCCTTCGCGTTCCTTATTGTTCGCAGTAAAAATGCCTCCGCGCACTTCGTATTCATTGCAGTGTTTCTTCGGTTCTCATGCAATCTTTCTGTAAAAGTATCTGCAAGAGTTTGTATGGGAACGTTCCGTCCGTCTCCAAATGCAATTTCTGCGCTGAATAGTCAAGAAAGAAAGAAAGAAAGCTGCCGTCGAACCTTGGAGAACTGAGGAACCTCAAAATTTTAGAATAATCGATTAGTTGGAAAACTTCATTGTGTTGTGATTGCGTTGCTACTTGTTTCAAGAACCGATTGTTCAATTGGTGACAATTATCGATTTTAAAATGGTTGTGATTGTGGCATGAATGAAAGACTATTTTGACTACAATGCATTTATACGATAGTAGCAAACGTTACGGAAGTAGCTTTCTTCCCTCACAAGCGTTACGTCGTATTCATTGTTTTAGGTGATAAATATATAAATTAAAGCAATGAACGTTTGACTTGGACTGAAGCAACAATCTTCCTGTAATTTCCGTGAATATACAGTATATTCATAATGAGACTTTGTTTTTGCAATTCGGAATATGTGCAGGAGAAAGATTCGGACAATGCCGGCGCGGCAAATGTCACTGAAAAACTTTTTTTTCGGGTTTAGATTACTATTGACTTTCTATTGGCTAATACGCTCTTATTTCAGTGACATAAACACGGACACATCTAGACCTTGAATTTGCGCAGCAATAATTGGATCAACAAGATCCAATTTGTCAATTAACAGCTACGTGTGAGCTGCGTGCGTGCTGCGTGTTAATGTGTCCCGCGGACGTGGGACGTCTACGCGAGTCATAGGTATTGGTCCGAAAATACGCGCGCTATTAAAACCCAAGGCAAGAAGAGGAAGAAATGGCATAAGATATATCATAAAATAAGCTACTTCTTTAAAATGAGAGAAAAACGTAAGTCAATTAGGTTCAAGGAAATGGATTTATTATTGCTACGGGTATTAGTAGACAAACACTATGAGATTTTGCTTCCGCGGTTTCGTTTTGTTATGTAGTTTGCCACTGACAGAAAGGTTAGTAAATCAGAAACACTTTCCTTGATTTTTTTACGAGAAAAGTGGAGGAGTGATTTAGATAGCGCATCTTCGTTGCCCTATTTTCTCTTATTGGTGAAGCCGTTACTAGAGATGCGATATCGACAACAAAACATAAGTTTTTCGAAACATCGATGCTTCGAAGTACAAAAAATACTTCGATCCAACTCCATCGATGTTCTTAAAACTATTTTAATAACCTCTAACATCAGTGTTCAGATTGGGTAGGGCGATTCATGTCTTGGTGGTCGTGCTTGTTAATTATTTATGATTGAGATTTAGCTGACGAAAGGAAGTCAAAAAATTATCATAACTTTTAACGAAACGTTCATTTTTCTAGTGATTAATACAAACCTAATACATTACATTTATTAACAAACATTCGACTGACTTATTTTTAACTGGTGGTCGCTGTGTTCTGAAGAATGTTCAATATTTGGATGTGTGAAAATTATTATTTTTTATTATTATATGTTTTTCATTTAAAAATAAACAATTAACCATTTGAAACCATCGATGTGAAAAAAGTGTCGGCTTCAGTGCATCGATGTTAAATACATGGACGTGTAGAAGCCGATGCTTAGATGGCTGCGCTGCGCAGGGCATCATCGCGCTGCTGACGAGCCGGCTGGCGGAGGGCCCGCGCGCCTACCAGCAGCTGTTCGCCATGCGGCTGCGCCACGCGGGCACGGGCGCCGTGCACTGGCTGCACCAGGACACGCCCATGAGCGCCGTGCAGGAGCGCTTCGCCGGCGCGGGGCCCGGCCCGGGGCCCGGCTCCGGCTCCGACTGGCGCTACGAGCTGCGCGTGCGCTACCTGCCCGGCGACCTGCGCGATGTCTACGACAAGGACCGCGTCACCTTCTACTACTACTACGACCAGGTACGAAGCCCAACTCCGCGCGCCCGACGCCTCTCACCATCCCACTCCTCCCGTGGTGCGGGGGCGCCCGGAGGAGGGAACGAGAGACCTAGAGCGGTTGGTCCACATTTCAAACAAATTCACCCCCCCACCCCCCCAAAAAAAACCAACAACTAAACATTATTTATTTCTCCAAGCAACAAACAGAAATAACTTGCAGAAGGTACTTGGAAATAGAAGTAAATACATTTGTTATTTTTTTAAATGGAAAATGTGGGACCCCCCATTGACGTTGGGGCCTGGGACTTGTTGCCTCAGCTGCTGCCCCCTCCCTCCTTTTGGGTGCCCCTGCTTTCGAACCTGGCGTTTTCTCAAACTCCGTTTTCTTAAGTATGTGTTAAGGGCTTAGGTTCATAGAGTAAGGGCACGTTAATCCGTGTTTCCAGATTTCCGTTTATGTACGTTTAAACCTGTTACGTTTACATATAAATCTCAAGAAATTGTATTGCCGCAATCTAATCCAAACATTAGATATCAGTTTTTTAGGCCAAATAAAAAACAATCCCTTTTCTGGAAATCTATATGAACTGAAACTTGCCTACAATAATGAATCTGACTACGTCATTATGAATCTCTCACCTCCCCCTACATATTATTTTCAGCTACTTTCTTTATCTATATGCCCAAGTTTTATAATTGTTTTCAATAATTAGATTGTTTGAGATTACAGGAATCATACGTGAATATGAACTTAAAGTCTGATTCTCTGCTGTATTTATATGCTCTCCAAGCTGGATGATAAAGATGTTCATTTATTCTACAATTCATGAAAATCAAAGTTCACAAGTTCAAACTTGACCCCCCAGACTCGATTTACACGCTTCCTTTTGACAAAAGATTCCGGAGTTTAAGCGAACTGATTTCTGGAACCCCAGAAACGACATTGCGCATGGACGTATTTGCAGAATCTCTGGAATTATTCGTCAAAACGAATGGTGGAAATCGGACGAAGGGGGGAGAGATTTGGCGGAAACGAATGGTGTAGATCGGACAAGAGATTTTTACACAATTCTCTTGTTTCACAACCCGTTCTAAAGCAATTGCGCAAGCGAACGTGGTCATTGACGTCAGTAACGTTCCGACTCCCGTTGTGGGGACGGTTTAAGATGAACGTTCTCATACCCTGCCCTACCAAGTACGAAGTGCGCGTTCTGTTGCGCTGCCTCAACGCCATGGGCAAGCGCCCGCGCGAGTCATCGCTAAATCGTTTCAATTTATGGGGGAGATCTTTGTCACGGCGAAATACGAGAAAGTAAGGGAAATCCAATTTTAGTTATGTGTGTACACTTTCTAAACAAACGCAGCAAGATGCTGCCGACGAGAGACTTATCTCCTTCATGAGAATGCTCGTCTGCTCTGCGCTCGGGCAACGCAAGAGTTGCATTCATTTGATTTAAATGCTTTAAACCTCCATCTCGCAGTTCAGATCACGCACCAAGCGACTATCATTTGCTCTCTAAATGTACATATGAATGGAAACTTCTTTCCTGATGTCGGCGAGGTGAAAACGGAAGTGGGAAAAGGAGTTGGCGGCTCTTCTCTATGACGAAGGAATGACAAACGACGTCCCATGGTTGACAAAATGAATTGAAGTAAATGGTAATTATGTTAAAAAGTAGTTTAATACCTATACTAATTTCCTTGTACATTTCACTTAAATATACCTAATTGTATAGTGAAAAACAATTGAGAACTTGCTTTCCAGATATACTTCGTAGTTCTGTGAAAGAAATGTCGTTTCAAATCTTAATAGAGAAGTACAATGCAGCCAGGAAATTATCTCTGCAGTGACACCTTGCTGGTGAGAGTGCGGTAGCAACGGAAATTATGGTGGTAGCACGAGCTGCAGCTTGTAACAATCAAAAAACCGGAAAAACTCGTCACAATCTTAGTAGATGCTGGACGTGATGTACTCTTCATTTGTTTCGAAGTGATCTGGTTGCTACGAATATAAGTGTAATTTATAATAGGAAGCCCGCTCGGCTCGGTGAGAAGTTACTGACACACGTTATCTGGGATATGGATAAGACACTTCTATTTCGCGTTGATGTATAATGCAAATATAGGAGTTTCTCTGCATTTTAAGTATCTAATATATTTATGTCGCACAGATGAACGCAGTAAGAGGTAAATGACACAACTATGGTACAATAGTTCAAAACTTTTAATTATTGCGGAGAAACCCTTAATTATTAGAATGTGTTCTTATGTCTTGCGAGATACTTCTTTTGACGTCAGATTAATGCGCAGATTGCGGAGTGCAGATCTGTATAACGATACTGCGCAGGTAATATATGGAAATCATAATATTGTACCTTATAAAGATGAAGTTCTCAGCGCTTGGATTCAGGAAAGATTGAATTGCTATCACGCGACAAACGCACTATAATTATGACACATTCCCCCAATGATATTGCCGGGCGTTTGTACTCCGAATGTGTGATATAAACACATGAATAACTACTTTATTACTATGAAGATCCGTATCGCGACGAAAATAATTCTTCCATTATAAAATCAAATGTTTATCATTTTTATCTTCAATGGTTTCATTTTACTTTTTTTGGTACTTGTTACTTTCTTTTAAACGGTCATTAATTTTATTGAATGAGATAAAGTGAGCGTTTTAAACAACACAGTTTATCTAAGCGAAACATTTTTATGGGAGCACAGCATCTACTGTCCAGAAAGCGTAAGTGATGAATGTTTGGGTGGAAAGTTGGGTTTTGGTCGTTAAGGGTGCAAATCAAATGAACAGCTGACTATTTCCCCGTATCCCTATTTGGGGTACAGACCTTTCTCCTGAGAATCGTCTTCTAGGAGGTTTGGGAAGATCTTTGTAAACACTTCGGGTACAGGCGTTGAGGGCTCCAAATTTTTTCTTCAAACTTTTCGAACGGATTGTGCTAATTGCAGTCTTTAATATGGCGTACAGTTAATTCAATTTTTTTTTCAAAAAATACACAAATGTAATTTGTTTGAAAGATCCTTTACGCCGATAATACGTAGAATACTATTCTACCTTGGGTGTATGTTCAAAATGTAACGGCTCCGCTATGGAACGTATATTTTCGTTGTAAATGTGACTGTGGTGATGTTTCTGGTAAGTGGCATATAGATACGAGACATATTCATTTTCTTGGGTGTCACTTATCGAATATCGGCATGAAACAATTGCTATTTTTGCTTAGCGTGTTCTTTTTGATTTGTGTAGTTACAGGGGCAGCATAATTGCTAGAGATATATTTCTGTATGTCGCTTTCTTTTCATTTGCGATCTCATCTCAAACCGCACGTAACGGAAGTTAATTCGGGTCTTCTCGTGTACTTAAAATAGTAATGTTAAGACGGGTCATTGAAAATGGTTACACAATTTTCCAATGAAAATGTTGCTCAGAAATGAATGTCATTAACTTGACTCTAATTTGTTATTATGTTGTGGAATTATTGTGTTACTTTCATGTGCTTTAAATATAACATTGCGAAGATATATGCAAATTCAGATGTGCGTGACAGCCATATACGATTGTGTTGATATCTACTAGAACACTTCGATGCAGGATTCAGAGATTTCTCTTATCTGTCTAGCAAAGCTCCATTCTATTCTTCTTCTTCCTCTGCTCTTCTGTTAAAACTGTTTCTATGAATTCCGATGCTGTTTTTTTGCTATAAAACGGATCATGAAAGTTGAGAGTAAGAGTACGTTAATTCTTGACGATTTTCTTCAAGCCCAATTCTTGAAGCCTTTCCAAGTCCTGTCCTAAAATCCAAAACTGCATGCGGCCGGTTCATAGCTCTTTTGAAGTTCGCGAGGACTGAAGAACTTACACAAAATTGGGCCGAATATTTTGATATTTCTATTAGCAGCACTTTTGGGTTTTGGGCACGCTGGTTTAAAGTTATTAGTATTTTAATCCTCAACATTACTTTTGAATGTGATGAATAGCCTAAAATGTGTTTGAAAAGGTGAGAATGGCATAAATGTCCCTATTGCTACCTCAGCTGAAAATAATATTTAATAAACTCTGGAAATATCCAGAAAATTAATTGGTGTAATATTTTTAAAATTCTTCTTCTTAGCTACGTTTTGAATGATTTTAGTCGTAAGTAAAAAAATGTAAATATAAAACTGCTGGAAAATGAATTACCCCCTTAGAGCATCGAACAGATTTATAACGAAAAATGTAGAATTTTGTAAATTATGCTAAAACCATCTCCACTGCAAACATGCAAACCGCCATACGCACTAGGCTGCAACATACGACATGCTGCATACTTTAAATAGGCGATATCTGTGTCCTTAAAAAACTTTGATGTCGTCTGCCACTCAAGGCCGAAGTTCATTTCGTCGGCTATAATCACAAAATGTGCTTTTTATTAGCCTCTTAATTTTTTGGAAGTTAAATGTTTACCTAAGTATCTATAAAGTGGCCAGAAACTTGCAGAATTTTGAAATCGGGTAAAATTAAATTGACCCTTCTAAATTCCGTGATATTTAATCGTTCGCATCTAACAATAAGTCTTTGATTGTTAATAAACTAAGCTAAGAATATCAGAAAGTGTTCGCCGGGCACAGTTCGCCCTCTGCCTTAGACAAGATGGTCGCAGTTCAGAGCCAGTGTCCCCTTCTTCATTGCCTCAACCCCGGTTACGTCTCACAGCCTATACATTGCGGTGTCACAGCCCTACAGTTCTTTGTGAGGCCGAATTTGATAGCTTAGAGACTCCTGTTGCCGATGCGGAGCAGAATCCCTGTGCCTCACGATATTCAAACGCGTCCTTTCGCGGCCTCCGCGTTACACCGAACCGCCCTCCCGCGCGATGGTCTTTCATCTTGACGGGCAATTCACTTGCATACACTTTTTTACATACATGTAATATACATGACTTCATTAGTGGAGTAAATGATGCTCTCGTTACCCTCAGTTAAATGTGAATATAGCCTAACATGGTATAACTAAGTATACATTGTAGGGATCGATTAAATACGCTTCCTGCATGTTACTTCACGCTCGTAGATTTTATGATACCTGATAAGGTATTTTTTCCATTGCGTCAATGTCGTTTTGCGTTTTTATCTTAAGATATATTTTGCTCGTAATTTCATCGGTAAGTTTGTTGTTTTTCATTCAGGTATCTAGTAGTTGAATGCATAAAATTTGCTCTCTTTCTCCGTAAATGGAGTTTGCTCAAAGCACGTGGAGCCCAAATTGTATGCAAAGGCACTAACCAATGCGTGTTTCTGAGCATGCGTGCTTTACGGTCCGTTGAGTTGTAGAGGTGTTTTATATTCTTCGGCAATTAATCTATATTAGTGAGGGAAGATATATTTACACCGCAATATATTATGTTTATGATAGGATTTAAATGGTGTGGGATGTTGTGATCTGGATTGTCTGATAGTGAAATTGCAATATATCATAGAAGTTTCTCAGCAAATACCTCGTGTTATGCTGCCGTCCATTTTATGAATGATGCTGCATTTTATGTGTCTCCATCTAAGATCTCTCTTACGCACGTACACAAATGCACTCACCGGCAAATCCACAAATAAACATGAATGGTAGTAGGTTTCTAATATCAGCATTTTTTGATTGACATTGTACTGATAAAGTTATTATTCCCCCCTCAATATCATTTATTTTTCAATAGGTGTTTAAAATGTTGGAAAATCATTAGCCAAATGTAGAAAGTTAAATGAATCCTTCGAAGGGAAAACCAGCCGATAGCAAAATTCACCCTTCAAGAACAAGAAAGTAACGAATTTATGTATTTTCTTTAAGCACCGAAACGTTACACTCGATCAATGATGCTTAGGAATGTGGAAAATGACGTTTCACACGTATTGGTTGGCAAAGAGTTGGCCCGCGCTCCTCCCACTTGGCAGACGCCGCGCAACGCTCGCGCGCGCGGGGTGGGGAAAGGTGGGGGCGGAGAGTGACGGGGCGGCGTGCGCAGGTGCGCAGCGACTACCTGCTGGCCGACATGGCGGGGCTGGACCACGAGGTGGCGGTGCAGCTGTGCTGCCTGGAGATCCGCTACTTCTTCAAGGACATGCCGCACGTGGCGCTGGACAAGAAGTCGAACCTGGAGTACCTGGAGCGCGAGGTGGGGCTGAACAAGTTCATGCCGCGCGCCGTGCTGGACGGCATGAAGCCCAAGACGCTGCGCAAGCTCATCCTGCAGCACTTCAAGAAGGTGGCGGCGCTGTCGGAGCTCGAGTGCATGTTCAAGTTCTTCGAGCTGCTGCGCGCGCACTACCGCTTCGACCAGGAGCGCTTCCGCTGCGCGCTCGGGGTGAGTCCCTGCGGCGCGGCCGACGCGCTTCCGGCGGCGGACGGTGGCGGCGGCCGCTCCTTCTCTCCCGTACCCCCTCTCACCTCCCACCCCTCTCCATGCCTCCCTCTCCCCCTCCTACCTCCCTCCCTCATCACACCCTCTGTTTCTTCCTCCCTCTCTCCCCTGCCCCACCCCTTCTCCT